CTCGTTAGTTCTTCACTTGTAACGAGAGGTCCCACACTTGGGGCATTCAGTGAGGGATGCATTGTCACCACGAAACAGGATGCAGTCATTCTTGCAAGCATGAATTTTCTCAAACTTTAATCCCATCGGACAAACAATCTTCTTGGCCTCATATGTAGTCCTGGATATTTGATTCCCCTCGGGAAATATATCTCCGAGCACTTCTAGCAATTCTCTAAAGCCCTTGTCAGTCCAGTGATGTGCCACCTTCAGATGGAGAAGCTTTAGTGAAGCGAGCAACTTCGTATACCTCTCATTACAACTCGGATAGAGTGGTGTCTTCATATGTTCCAACAACTGCTTCAGCTTCTTGAGCTTTGAACTAGTGTACTCATCAAAGCCAAAGGCATCACACACCATCTCCTCTAGATTCTCAACCGTAGGGATAGGGCTGGCAGCAATCTTTGCTACATCATCATCACATAGTTCCTCATTGACAAAGGGTGCTTCCTCATTGCCAAAGGGTGCTTCCTCATTGCCACCGACACAAGTTTCATGAAGTCCTTCCTCACCATCAGGCTCATTGACACCTTCTTCTCCATGTTTGTTCCAACATCTGTAGTCATCCATGAATCCTCGAAGAATTAGGTGGGCATGGACTGACAACTGATTCGAGTACTGCTTCTCATTCTTACAGCAAACACATGGGCACAATATAGATGACTTATGTCCATTCCTCATGTCCGCCTCTGCAACAGATAGGAAATATTTTAGTCCATCCAAGTACTCATTACAAGTATAGTTCTAAAGATACATCCAATGGCCTCGATCCTCCATAAAGAAGCGCACGCCAGAGAACAGGAGGCCAAAGAGCAAAGCACGCTGGGGACCAAGGAGGAGAGCTGAGCATGTCGGCGATCCCCTATAGCTTGAGATGGCGAAGCACGGTCAGAGCATGCTTGATTGAGTACACTATAGAGAGGAATGAGTTAGAGTCAGACTCAAGTTCGACCATAGCCATGGCAGTGCGGCGGACACAGAACAGTGGCGCGGTGGTGCTCCAGCTGACACAGCATGGTAGAGGTTAGTCGAAGGGCTCAGGCAGCATTAGCAGCTCACCGCGATGTCAATGTGCTACTTGGTTGAACCAAGGATGAGGTGGAGCTAGATGACTGATGGTGATGGTGCGTGCTGCGGTGTGAATTGGTGGCAAGGTCACCGTTCCGGCATGACCTGTGTGTTAGAGGTAAAAGAATGGAGCCTATGAGCATCATAGAGTTGCAGGAGAGCTAAAACAATAAACGGGATCACCAGAGGAGCACCAGAACGAGCTGGCCACGGCGAGCTACCCATGGTGGCACGGCCACGGTGGAAACTGATGCCGAGGGCGATTGTGGCGGCGAGAGGTGGCTACAACAGTTCGAGGAGGACCTCAAGAACTAGGCGGAGCTGGGAGCACAGGAAATTGGGAAAAGATGGAGTGACGAATTTCGCCGTCGAGCGACGTGGCGGTGCTCTGGTAGAGAAGATGGAAAGAGAGGAGCACCAGCGGCTCAAGTTTACCTATAGTTCGAGAAGGCCCTATGGCCGCCCACCACCGCCTGCTGTAGTAGCGCGCCCCTTGGCCTGCCGCTCACCACACCAGTGTGCCCCTCCGGCCACCGCCCACCTGCGCGCCATGCCTCCGCCCGTGGGAGCGCCACGCAACTCCAGCCACCGCTCGCATGCCTCAAAGCAGCAAGCCTGCGCCAGGCACGACAACGGTTGGCGCCGCCCGCATGAGAGGTGCGCGACAACGGCCATTGCCCGCTGTGTTCCATACATGCCAAGTACGCAGTCCACTCCCTCTGCCTGTTAGCACATGCCAACGGCTAAGTACATAGGCAAAGTACTACAGACGCGCGTTATTAACACACGTCTGTAGCAAGGTTGGACCAAATTAAATATATATCTACCACCGTCACCCTCTGTCTCTACCTCACTTTGTGTGCCTCACTTCTTCTCGCTACCTTCCTCTGCCACCACCGCCAAGCTCTCCGTCCCTTCTCCCAGCTCAAGACGCGATGTCTCATTTTGTGGAGTCGTCTAGAGGTGGACGGGCGAGGAGTAGGCTTCAAGGTGCCCGCAGCACCAGCATTGGCTCCGAGCACGGCGTCATTCTGGATCTAGTTGGTGAGCTCAGCGGGTTCCTGCTGATCCCTTGCCCAGATTGCGGTCTTGCTTAGGTGGTGGAGGGGCGGACCAAGAAGGATGGTGACAACCATGGCCAACTCTACTTCAAGTGTGCTAGGAATGGGGTGAGTTCTTTGTAGTGTTATCCCCCCAATTTGCACAGTTAGGGTTCTAATTTGTGGCTGTTTTTTAGTTTCCTAAGCTGTGTGGTTACTATCGATTCGAAAAGGAGTACTTCCAGCAGTTGAAAGATTGTGGCATCATAATTGTTCGCCATTCAAATTGGGCAGAGCTGCTGGATGAAGAAGAAGGTTCAGTGGACAGTCCAAATGGTGACACCAAGAAGAAAAACTTGGAGCAGAAGCTAGAGAATTTGAAGTGGAAGATGAACATGTTTATTGTGTGTGTTGTCTGTGTTATCCTTGTATGTGTTCCAATGTATGATGTAATCCCCAATGCTTGGATTGAATGAATGAAACTGGATGTTCAATGCAACTGGATGAATGAATGGATGGATGGATGGAATTTGGTGTCCAAATTTGTTATGTGTAGATGTTGAATGCAACTGAAATGATGAGTGAACATAGTGACAATGCAACTGAAATTTGTCCAAATTTGCATTGAATGCAACTGAAATGATGAGTGAACAAAGTGACAATGCAACTAAAATTTGTACAAATTTGCTGTCACTTGTCAATGTGAAGGCTGGAATGTTTTATTCCTTAATTAATCTAATTGAATCAGATTGCAATAGGAATTAATGAGCCAGTAGTTATGCTTCAGACGCGTGTTTGGAAAACACGTCTGTAGTAAATACAAGAACAAAACAGGGGGCAGCCTAGGGAACTATAGACGCGTTTACACGGTTTACCTGGTTCCCACCGCTACGACGTTCGCCATTCCCGCGGCCATGCAGAGACTTCAAGAATAGCGTGCTCATAAAATCCCACCTCTCCACCTTGCATTGCCGCTCCACCTCTCCACCTTCATTCAAGAAACTCACCTTTTGCATTGCTCCCAGTGATCCACCTCTCCCTAGCGTGCTCAGCTCTCTGCCTTGACGTCGCTCACCCTGACCACCGCCGCCGCCATGGAGAAGCTTCCGACGGAGTTGGCTACTGAGGTTGCGAGCTGCGTCGCCAAGGCCGCAACGGATCCCATGGAGGACCTTGGCAGCCTACGGGCAACGTGTTCGTAGATGTGAAGGGCATGCGGCATCGCCTATGTGGGACTGAGCATACCACTGGAGCCCTTCTACTCGCACAACTATCGCGCGAACCTCATCACCAGGCTTGCCAACGTCAGCCACCCGGAGGCCTACTTCAAAGCTGGGATGTCTGCCATCTTTCTAGAAGACTGCGACATAGTCACGCAGCGGCTCGACATGCTGGAGCATGCCATCGAGTCAGGGCATGAACTGGCTACGTATGTTCTCTCTCTTGTGCTCCACAGGTCCAACAACAGTGCTACCAACGATGCCACGGCCCGATGGTTGTTGCAGAAGGTCGAATGTGACGAAGCAGGCTCGGTGGCAAAGAATGTGATGTGGAAGAACAAGAACTGTGCACGGCGCTGCCAAGCTACATGGGTGGTGTTGCAGGATGACTTGGTGCTGCCATGCCGTGCAGCGAGGCTTGATCTCCTCTAGCCCCTCTGGTGCCACGCTAGGATGGGCATCAGTGCCAAGGCGAAGGCTACGACGACATCGTCGGATGGGTAGCATGGGAGCCATGGGCCTTGTTCTGTAGCGAGGAGTGTAGGATCTGCCATGAGTGTCGTAGGTTCTTCCTTGATTGCCAGTGGGCATGAGTGTTGATATGTATATATATCTGGATGATATGATCAAAACTTTTGCTTTTGGTGATGGTTGATGTTTGATCCTGAGTAGCAGTGATGAAAATTGAGATGTTTTAGTTGTAATTCATGTTATATTGCTATTTGTGATGGTGTTTGTGATGTTCCACCCTACTCTATTGAGCCACCTCTATAAATAGACGCCGAATTTTAAAAATTAACTACTAAAATTTGATTTTTTCAAACGACCTCGAATGGAGAAAGAACCAAAATAAAAGTTGTAGATCTCAAAAAAGCCATGAAACTTTGTAGTTGACAACTTTTTCATTTAAAATCATCTTATCATGGAAAACTAAGTTTAAATTTCCAAAAATTTGAAATTTCAATTTTTTAAATGACCTCGGATGGAGAGACTACCAAAATAAAAGTTGTAAGTCTCAAAAAGTTATGAAACTTTGTAGTTGACAACTTTTTGATTTGAAATCTTGTCAACCAAACTAAGCATTCATCCACAAAAGATTTCCGGTTACAGACGCGTGTTGTAAAAACGCGTCTGTAGTAGTAAAATAAAAGGCAAATAATTTGTACCCCTGCGGGGATCGATCCTGAGACCTTCAGGCCCACAACCCCGTGAGTTAACCATTGCCCTACATTCATAAGTTCAAACGGGGAGCGGTATTTTTTTAAAAGGTTTCCAATACATTAAAACAAGGTGGCGGTGGGCCTGTCCTGTCAGGGTCCTACTTCAGACCCATGTTATTAACAATCGTCTGTAGTAAGCCAATTGAGAAACCGGCCACAGCCGTTCGCCAACAGAGAGAGTAGTGGCAGTTCAAAGAATTAGAACTGCCACTCCGTCACTCATATGCACTCCAACCTCTTGTCTCTCCACTCCTCTCTCGCCTTCCCCGCCGTGCGCACAACCCTTGCGTTCACTCCGGCCTCTCGTCTCTCCACTCCTCTCTCACCTTCCCCACCGCACGTGTAGCCACCTCAACTCCTCTTAGCTCCTCGGCCTGCCGCAGCAGCCGTACCCGGAATCGCCGTCGTCGAAGATGACGAGGCCAGATAGGCGGCACAACCTGAGGGACGAGAAGACGGCAAGGTTCGCCCGCCGTTCCTCATCCTCGGTAGTGGTGAAGGAGGAGGTGAGCCCCCCATCGAGGTTCAAGAGGACGTCGGCCTTCAAGAAGAAGGCCGTCCCGGCTGCCCTACCAGGGTTGAAGAAGAAGGCCGCCATCATCACTATGAAGGAGAAGCACCTGGCGGCTTTGATGAAGGAGAAGTAGCTAGCGGCGGTGAAGAAGAAGGCCAGGCAAGACATGCCCTCTTTCTCGGCCACGGTGTCAAGGGCAGCGGTCAAGAAGCCAGCGGTGGTGCTCGCGGTGGACTCGGATAGCGAGGAGGAAGGAGAACCCATGGAGGTGAGGAAGAAGGAGAGGAAGGCCACGCAAGCGGCGGCTGCGGCGGCATCTTCTTCCTCGGCCGCGTCATCGAGGGTAGTGACCACCAAGATGTGCGACCACTGCTTCGAGGGAGGAGCCAGGACGTGCCGTTTTTGGCTCCGCGGCGGCGTCAACTGCAGCAAAGTCAGTGGTTCAAGCTCCACTCATGGCCAGGTAATGCACACTCTTTAGATTACAATTGCTTATATTGAGGTTTTCTTTTTTAATTTCATGACAGTTTTGTTGGTAGCCTCTAAATTGGATGAGTTTGTTGCTAAAATAATTTGGCTCATGTCATTCTCTCATCCTAGACCCAGATGGAGCAGAGAAAAGAACTTAGTGTAGAATAAATGCAGATGCAACTCAAGTTTTTATACAAGCAATGTAAACTATCATATATTGTATTTTGCAGCAGCATTGTGATTTGAGCAGATTGCTTTATGTAGATGTTTATCATAGATCAATGATTTTAATCTTGTGAATAATTTTGATGGTGCCACTTCAATATTTCAGCATTGTGATTTGAGTAGATTGGGTTTCATCTCTTTGGGGTAGCTCTAAGTCTTTATGTGCATTGTTAGCAGCAGCTAGATGCTTTATTTTTCTAATTTGCTATGATTCTGGTGTTCACAAGGTCATGGACTTTGTAGCCTATAATTGATTATATGAAACTTATATGATTCTGATATGTATGCTGGATAATGAAACTTATATGAATACAAATGAAACTTATATGTAGGTTTTTTGTCATAGTATCTAGATTTATGCTTGATTTTCATATATGTTCCTATAACTATTTCTGTGCATATAGGTTTGATCTTATCAGCTCCCTCTAAGTACCATGCACGAGGCCCTAGAGGCAATGGTTCTGAAACCCATCATGAAGAGCATAGGCGGTCTTCAGCGGAGTGTTGACAAACTCAAGAAAGAGAAGGCTGAGAACAAAGAGAAGGAGAAGCGTCCCAAGAAGAACCTGGATGACCGTGGTGACCAACTAGCATCCGTGGTTCCGAATGTGCATAACCTCTAGAGCAAGTTGCAGGGCACCATGCCTCCACTGCCGATGAGCAACTAATAATGATGTGATGCTGTGTTAACTTTTGCTGATAAAACTATGTGAATGTAAACTCTGTGATGACGTACTTTTGGTGATGATGTAATTACTGTGATGAAGTGGTAAAACTTTGTGATGCAAACTCTATCACATAGTTTGGCTGGAAATGCATCTATCTATATATTATTACATATATATTGTTGCTGGTTTGTCAATGGCTGGAGTGAAAATGGAAGAATATAAGCAAATTCATCAATGCTTTAGTAATAAAAAATCATAGTTTTTCAGTAAACTTAGTTTACATTGCATGTTTCACACAAGCAATGTCATCACAGTTTCACACAAGCTCACCACTATTCATAGAGAAGCACACCCTAGAGAACAGGAGGCCGAAGACGAGAGCAGGGAGGACCCGAGAGGAGAGATGAGAACGACGGCGATCCCCTGTAGCTTGAGATGGCGAAGCATGGTCGGAGCACGCCTGATTGAGTACACTGCAGAGAGGAACGAGTTAGAGTCAGACTCGAGCTCAACCACAGCGATGGCATTGAAGCAGACATAGAACGGCGGTGTGGCAGTGCTCCGGAAGATACAACACGATATAGGTTAGTCTAAGGGCTCAGGCAACATTAGCAGCTCACCGCGATGTCGATGCGCTGCTTGGTTGAACCGAGATGAGGCGGAGTTAGATGTCCAGCGGTGTGGCGGCACGAACTGGTGGCGAGGTCGCCGTTCCGGCATGACCTGCACTTTAGAGGTAAAGAATGGTGGCGATGAGCATCATGGAGTTGTAGGAGAGCTAAAACAATAAACGGGATCACCAGAGGAGCACCGGAATGAGCTAGCCACGGTGAGGTTCCCATGGCGGCTATGGTGGCATAGCCATGGCGGCAACCGACTCCGAGGGCAATTGCAGAGGTGAGAGGTGGCTACAGCGGTTCAAAGAGGACCGCAAGAACTAGGTGGAGCTAGGAGCGCAGGAAATTGGGAGAATATGGAACAACGGCAAAGAATTTCACCGTCAAGCGGCGTGGCGGTGCTCTGGCAAAGAAGTGGGAAAGAGAGGAGCACCGGTGGCTCGAGCTTAAGACTTGCTCACCTACGCCTGCCCGCCTATGTGGCGCGGCCCTAAGGCCGCCCACCGTCGCCCGCTGCAGTAGCGAGCCCCTCCGGCTAGCCGCCCTCCACAACAGCGCACCTCGCATGCTGTCACGTGCCCCTCCTTCCACCGCCCGCCTAAGCGCCGCGCATCCGCCACCTACCTGCACGCGTGGAGCGCAAGTCCGCCGACCGCCTGCCTGCGGTCGCGCTGCGCAACTCCAGCCACCGCCCACGCTCCTCAAAGCCATGCAAGAGCCACTGCCCGCTGTGTTCCGTATGTGCCAAGTACCTCCCTTTGCCCATTAGCACGTGCCAGCGGCTAAGCACGTAGGCCAAGTGCTACCCACGCGTATGGAACACACGTCTGCCACAAAGTACAGAAGCGTATAGAGCAGGACGTGTTAGCTACAAGTAGGATTACTCAAGATGCGTGTTCGCGTCTGCAACAACATACACGTCTGCAATAAGAGATCTTACTACAGACACGTGTTACGTACGCATGTCCCTAGAGTTTGATCCCGTTATCTGAGACTCAAAAATCACAACACGTGTCTGTAAAAACTGCTACAGATACATACACTTTTTATATACACACGTCTGTAGATTTATCTCAGACGCGTTGTGCCAACACGCGTCTCCAGTAAGCACTTATTACAGATGCGTGTTGACCTTGTTGGACCGGCGAGCCCCGCGAGCGACTTAGTATAGATGCGCATTAGGAAGGTGCGTCTATAGTTGTACTACGGTAGACGCGCTTTACTGGCCGTGTCTGTGATGAGGTGGTGGATACGTGGCTTCTTTACATCGTGTGAGGACAGGTGGCTTGCCAGGATGGTTAGTTGTGCAGACAGAATGATTAAGCCTGTTGAACTAGCTTTTGTCGATTGCTTTAAATGATGATAATTCTTACATCATGCTTTTTTTCCCTTCCATTTCCTTTTGCACCATTATGTTACTTCCGAGTTCAATGAAATGGGACCCATATTACATTATAGGAAGATGTTCTATATGCAGCAGTAGTTTACATGTAACAACACTATCAGGTTATATATCTGCTAATCGATTCTACGCATAAGTTTCTATCAAAATAATCACTGGAGTTTATTTCCTTGTCTGAAATTGTAGTCTCTATATAAGTTGTCACAAAATATTCACTAAAGTTGGTACATCTGTGGAAGCTACAGCAAAAGGCACTCACCGAGGTTGTGAAAATGGAAAAAGTCTATATGGCTCCTGTAACACCCTAAAAATTGCATCTTTCCAAAATAGCCAAAATTGATTTATCTATGCATTGAGGTATTCAACATAGGAAAATAATAATTTTTGTTGAATTAAAATCCATCATAAGGTTAGATACATGTTGATGCATACATGCTGCTACATTTGTACTGTCTGGTTTTGAACTCAAACTGAATTCAACTCCTATTGAAAAAGATTAGGAAAATTCAGTTTCAGAAAAAGAAAAACAAATTCTTTTCTCTCTTGGCCTAAGGGACAGCAAACCAGTTGGCTTGCTTCCCACCCCGCGTCCCAGTGTGCAGCTGCCCAGGCCATCTAAGCAGCCAGCCAGGCCTAACTGGGCCAGCCCAAAGCGCAGGCGCGCGTCCCCTCTTTCCCCATTTCGCTGATGCCTGGGACCCACCCGTCTCTCTCACTGACGCGTAGGGCCCGCACCTCCTTCTCCTGTGCTCAAGTCAGACTCGGCCGGCACAAAAATCTCGCACCCGAGCCGATTTCGCGGGATTGTGGGCGTGCGTGCCACGCCCAGGCCTCTATACAAGCCTCTGCCTTCCCTCCACACTCCCTTTTCTGATCTACGATCCGCCACCGCCTCAATCAGAGCTTGCACGCACCGTCAAAGCCCTAGCTGCCGCGACAGTGCATCGATCCGCACGTCCAACGCCTCTCCGCCGCCTACGATCCGCAGCCGAGCTCCTCTTCAAGGTGACGAAGCCCTCAGTGCTTTCTGTCTCTCCCTTTCGGTCTTGGTTGCTCACGCACCATCGCCGTGTTTCGCAGGTAGCTCCCATCCACTCAACCGAGCACCGCGTCGTCTCCACTCCCTCTCAGTCCGCGAAAAGTCCCTTGGTGAGTTCGCCATAGTCTCCTCTTTCACCCTGTGCATTTCTAGAGTTGAACCGTGGCCTCTAGGGCCGATTCCAAGTGCGTCGGCGAGCTCCTTCTCACCGCCGGCCATGGTAGCCGCCGTGCCTGGCCCTGTTCCGGTCGGTTGCCTCCCATCTCTCCTTCTTTCATCTAATCTGGACCGTCCAGATCTAAACCAATGGCCCAGATTCATCTATACCCCTTCGCTTGACTAAATTCTTAAAGAGCCCCTCGAATTCTTCATATTTGTACCCGCAGTCCTCATCAGATTCAAAATCTTGTTTTTGATTTTTTTAATATGAAATTAGTTCGTGTTATTTACAGAATTGCCATCCAGAGCCCATTTTCATCATATCTTACCCGTTTTAAATCCGATTTGAGTGCATTTTGCGTCGATGTGATCGTAGCAACGTGTAGAATAGATTTATAAGCTTTTCAACTTGTTTTTCCCACTGTTGGTGTACTGTTCTAATTATAGTCTTTGTTTGCTATGCATGGCTGCCTCTGGATGCTTATATGTTGCCGTATGATCGAGTATAGACGATGAGCAGTATGTTGGTGATCAAGAGCAGTACTTTGACGAGTAGGACTAGTAGGAGCACTTTGCACATGGCAAGTATAGCATGTGATCTTCCTTGTTGTCCTATTCACCATTTAATTATTTAGTCATATGCATGTGTCTAATTTTGTTACCTGTAAGGACATCCTAGTTATTGTTATCTTGTTCCTTGTCACCTATGGGTTATACTTGCATATGGATAGTTTGCTAGTGCTCAATTTAATTATACATGATTTGAAAAATGAGTAATGGTTCTATGCAATAAATGTTAAAACTTGCTTTTTAGCAAGTTGGACATAGGGCGAGAGAGCTCTTGTTTTTATCGTGATGCTCTTGGCTCTCCCTAAAGACTTATCTGTCGGTAAAAGCTAGGACATACAGTACAACTGGGAGTGCCACATGGCTCTAGGTTTAGCTTAGTAGTAGGACCTTTTCTAGCTTGCTAGTGGTTACCGAAAGGCACAAAAGGGTTGTGTTCCGGGTTGGGTGTACTGCGGCCTCTCTTCTTAAGCATATAGCCTGCGCGGAATGTGCCTTCAGAAAGGGGAGCTCTACATTCGCAGGCCACAGAAACCTAGTGGCCACTAACTTGTTAGGGAAACCTTTGAAAGGCTTCATAGTGAACCCTGCCGACCTTTCTTGGTAGTGAGTCAAGAGATTAGCTACCTTGGGCGAAAGGGTAAATCACGGCTCACGGTGAAAGTGTATAACCTCTGCAGAGTAAAACTGGTATATCAGCTGTGCTCATGGTCATGAGTGGCTCGAAAAACTCATAGAATAGTGGATTATATATGTTGATGATTAATTATGAGATAAAATTGAGGATGGAAACGGGGCGGTTTTGGGTCGGATATCCGTTGGTTTCGGGTCTCGTGGGTTCGGGTTCGGGGATGATTTCTCACCCATGGTTTTCGGGTTCGAGGCTTCGAAACCTGTCGGGTTCAGTTTTGTGTTTGGTTTTCCACCCATGGATATCCAATGGATATCTGAAATAAATCATTTGGAATTAAAACTCATGTTTTATAATATGGGAGTAATAACTTATTTACTTAGATTATTAAATTTATTCTAAGTTGACTCATGAAAATATTTATTATTTGTTGCCTCTTGTTTATACATGTGAATATGTGTATATATATCATGCATATGTTTATAGAAAGTCCTTTTTGCTCTTACTATGTTGCCATACAAAGCGGGTTTTGGGTATCCA